TATTTATTTTTCTTCTTTCAAAACAACATAAAATAAAAACAAATAGTCTTTATATTTATTAATGCTGTAAGATTGAACTTTTTCTCTAAAAAAAGATTATGATTGTCGCACAAGAGTATTTTTTATACCAGTTAATTTTCGATTCTTAGTTAAAGTTGACATTTGATTCATTTCAGAACGAAATATATTCACACGAGTTCGGTTGACATGACAACATTGTGAAATAAATTTGTAAAGTTCTCGACGAAAGATACTACCTGATAATGTAAACAAATAAAAACTAGTCGAATGACAAAAGTATGTCATTCCACCCGATGTTTTATTAGCTAAATTTTCTTGAGCAATTCGAAGTGTATCTTTAACTAAATTCATTGTAAGTGATGCATAAATTTGATAGACTGTCTGTGGTAAAGTAGTAATAATGATTACAAGTACTTGAGCTACTAACATACGTAATAATTGATTATCTGTACGTTGAATAATTCTATGATTTTCGTTTAATACTGAAACAATTTGACGACGTTTACGTATATTATTCATTGTAAAACAACCAAATAGAATCATTAAACATGATGGAAAAAGTGAATAGAATGCATATACCAAAATGACATAAATGTACGATAAGAACTATTATAAAAATTACATGAATATGAAATAGTTCCAAATCTATTCGATGTTTCTTGTATATTCAGATAAACCATCATATGAGTGTATAAGATAAGAATTATAATAATGATACTTGCAATTGTTATTTTTGCTGTTTTTAATGAACTGAATCGACGAATATTAGCATTTGCTGAACTATGTAAATATCTATCAATACAAGCCATTGCAACTAACCAACAAGATATTGAACGTACTGAGTAAAAAGCAAAAATTTCTATTTTACAAAGTCCAGCATTATAATTAGACATAGATATGTTAAAACTATTTGAAAGAATACGTACAGGTATAATCACAAATACGAAAAATAAATTGAAAAATGTTGATGATAAAAAATAAAGTGAACATGGTTCACGACGTAAATTTGGTCGAGTAAATACAATTACATTAAATATAAGACCAATTGAACCTATTGCAAATGCAATACATAATATAACGAGTACAATTATTGCTGTTGCTGAGTTTATTTGACTGATTTTAACGTCGATCGATGACATAATATTATTTAAATGATGAGTTTTTCAATATATTCTCGTGATAAAAATCTAAATCTAACAAATACAATAAAAGACTATTTAGAAGAACGACATATCGTCTGGATTTTTTCATTTATAAATTCCATGTTTAGTTTTCAAAGAAATAGGATAAGGTTTGAAATGCAAAGAAGAATATCTGTTGTCTAATAAGAAATTGTGTCAAAAAAAAAATTTCTATATTATATCTTGAATGTAAATATCAAATTGAAGAAAGAAAGAACGTATAAGATAACATTTAATTAAATTTTCAAAGAAGACATTAATGCAATGACGAATAAAGTAAGAAAATAGAATGTCTTTTGGATATATTCAATTAATTAGTCAATTTCAGAGCAGATAGAACTTGTATGAAAAATAAAGTCTATATGAATTTTTAATTAAAAAAATTCAATTATATCTTTAATGATTATAATGTGAATTTGATATCGAATAAAAGTGCATAAAAATTAATTTTGTTCGTTGAATATCAATGAAGGTAGTTTTTGTGTACTCAAAAAGTGAGTACACTCTAGAATCGGTCAGTATGTCCGTCCGTCCGGCCGTTAACACGATAACTTTTGAAAGGAGAGTCTAATCGAGATGAAATTTTCTACACAGTTCAGTCTTAACAATGTCTTGGTCGATTTCGAAGATGAGAAGAATTGGCTGAACCATTCCTGAGTTATTGCAAAAATAGTCATTTTTCCCTATGCGAAGATCGACCTATCTCCGCTTTCGTAAAAAACTTTTCCTATCATAGTCAAATAAAACCCCAACTATTATATATCATTCGATAGAGAATTTCACGAGCTACAAAATGGTATATAAAACATAAAGAAACAAGAAAGCTAACTCGCCTATTGCAAAGATAATTAATCGGAATGCGGTTCTGTTTTTGTCCACGCTGTATGTGATCCACAATCAGAGCTCTATCTTCCCATCACAGAGATGATAGTTCGAGGTTTTCTAGAATGCAGAACTCGAATCTATGTTCCATTCGTCTCGAAATCCCATTGGTTGAGCAGTGACCAATAGAAATCAAGTTATAGGAAAAACGAGTTTCTTAGGGTAAATCAAGGTGAATAGTTCAAATCTGAGCTGTATTTGCTTCCAAATCGTATTGGCTGAGCAATAGCCAATAGAAATTAAGTGTTTACAGAAAGGGTTTGCCAGGACAATTTTGACGTCCACACATTCTAGGGTGACTCATCTGTCTCATTCACTTTTTGAAGTACACATAACTCTCGGATTTAAATTCGAGGTTTCCACATTTATTTTTATATATATATTGTTCATTTTCATTTATTGTTCTCTTTAATTAATGTTAATATAGATAGTTATGATAATTGTGCGTAGGATAAGAATTGTTGAATATATTTTGAAAAATGATTTCCACTTTCAAGTTATATTGAAGGTGATTCAATCTATAGATTATTTATATAAAAATGTCAATAAAAGTAGATTTATTTAAAATATAGCCATTTATTTTCCTTGGAAAATTTCTTCCGTTTTCTAAAATAGTCTTGCTGTTTGTTGGTTAGTTTCATGACTAGATTTATTTCATAGTTTAATGTTAAGTTAAATATAAATTTCTATATGGAGTTGAATTGTGTCAGTTGATAACTGACAAACAAGGAATCTTTCCTATCAATATCATAAGGACATAATATCTTTAAAAACGTTCGAAATGAAAACGTCATCATATTAATGGGAAATGATATGAACAACAATTTTCATTTTTCTTTATCGTTTTAGTTTAACTGTAAATCAATTAAATAAATATTAAATCTAACATTTTCTTCTATGTTTCATTTTCATGAAAACAAATTTGAAGATTTTTTTCAAGGAAAAAATAATCTGGCAGTAGTGTCAACACTAGAACACTTGAATTCAATTCACTTTTCAACTTTCAATCTTATTTCGGATCACTTTTGCGGTCAGTCCTTTGCCGGCACCCACACCAGCTACAATGTGATGTATGTCGTTTTATGGACACTCCTTTCTGCGAACAGACCCTCCACGGGCATTTCTTTTATGATCAGTCCTTTCGTAGGAACTTGAAACTAAAAATTTGAAAACTGATTTCAATTGAAGTTTGAAGTTTTACATATATGTTATCTGGATGACGAATATATATCTAATCCTCCTCAGTAACGATAGATCGAACGATATTCGATTCGAAATAAAACCAATATAACAAGTAGTTTTATTTCTCTTCTAGAGATTTAATACCTTTTAACAAAATAGACTAATAAAGTTTCTTTGATTATTCTTGCTTAAGATAACGTTTATATTCGAATATAAATATGAACTATATCTTCATCTAGAACAATTTATACTCTATATGAATAGATTGAATAAAATAGGATACTATCTTCAATTATTTATTCTATTATAGTGCAAACATATCAACTTGCTCTAAAGTTAATAATATAAACTCTTCTATTGATCGTTTATTTCCATAAATTGTGAAAAGAGCACGAGTATTATAATAAAAAAACAAGTTACTTATATTCGTTAAAGAATTCTAATCAATCATCTATAACATATCCATTATTACTATTAAAACGAAATCAATATTTAGAAACGAATTTAGTTACCATATCAAAAAAGAAAGAAAGAAAAACAAATATCGTTGAGAATAATTGAAATAAGAGATTGATTAAAAAAAGTAGGAAACTAGATTTCTAGGATGATCTTAAAGTCTCTTATCAATCAATTCAATGAAAGTAAAGATTTTTTAATCGTAGAATTTTCCTCTAAATCAATTTGAAAATATAATTAAAATATATTATCTTATTTCAATTGATGTAACCAGTCAATTTTCACATCCACAACATGGCGGTGTAGACCATTATTGTTCATGTAAACATAGAAAGCATTTTCATAGTTTAAAGACAGAATAGATATCGATCGTTTCATTTTACTGATAAAACAAAATTTAGAAATTCTAAAAGAGTTATTACATAAATACTCCTATGTTCAACTTGGAATTTGTTTATTTGATAGGAAAAAAAAAAGAAAAGTTTCTATTATGGATAGAACTGTTGAATTTATGTTGATATATGTTGATCGTTGAATGGTGAGATAGAATTCTATTCTAATCGAATAATTCAAGATCAATTATAGAAATAAATATTTTATAAAAACGTTTTCCAAACCGATTTAAATTTGTTATATTGATGATTTAATCATTAAAAATCTCTAAATACATATGAAATTATTTATTTCTATATATATAATAAAAATTCTTTTTCTTTTCCTAGATAAATAAATAAATCGAATCGAATCAAATTTCGTCGATTGATTTTTCATGATTTTGCTCTTTGATTTATTTATTTATTTAATAGATTTTATAATCGAATATTGTTTATTCTTTTCTATGTTATTTATAATATAAAAAGATGTATATGGTCATCTATGATAAATGATTTGTTGATATAGAATATTTCATATACATATATTATTTTTAATTGATAATTGTTGAAATGGTATTATTTATATTGATTTAAATATAATTGAATATGAAAATTGTTATGTTAATGTAGAACGTTGTTAATTAGGTAAATATCTATATGAGCATGATGGTGAAGGTAAATGACGTGATGATAATGTTATTATTCTTGTTTGAAGATTATTATTTGATTCTATTAATATATAAGCTGATATTGAATTTCGATTTGAAGATCTTATTTTAGATAGTGATCATAAACTAATCGAACCAATATCGATTCTATTATTTAATGATTATCTTTGATTTAATAAATAATTTGAATAAATTATTAAATAATTAACTAATAAATAAATAAATAAATATATCATATAATATATATCTATTATATATTGAATAAATAATATATAATAATAATGGATGTTGTTGTTTAATAATGATATATTATTGTTAAAATATAAAAATGATGATAAATAATAATAAATCCTATCACCAACAGATATTAAATAATTTAAATATAAATTTATTGTTATATGTATAAATGATTTCATATTGATTTGTTGATGTTATTGATAGAGGAAGGTATTTTGTTGATAAATTTAATGATATTGATCGTGATGAATAAAGTGATTAATGACATAATTAAAGTATTGAAAGAAGTTTTTCAATATAAATATATTAAAGTATATCATAAAAATGTTCATCTTCAATATTATTTTTATTTTTATTTATTTGTTCATTTTTAAAACGTTTACGTTGTTGATCAATTGTTTGATTTCTATTTTCCATTTATTTTCTTATTAATAATATCATTTGTCGTAAGACATCTATCATATAAATAACATTAACAACCTATTGATGATTAATTAATAAAACATATTAATAGATCTATATCATTTTGAGTAAATGATAATGGTCAATATGAATAACAACAATGAGCAAATAAAATAAATAATATTATGAAAAAGTTTTAAACGTATTGATGATGTTGATTGAGAAATATTTTGTTTAAGTAGATAAGTTATAAATTTAAGATGAGAATTTAAAGGAGCATAAAAATCATTACTTATAAGACGATCAAGAATAGATAGAAGAGTATTAAGATAAAGACTATTGACATTAGTTTATGATGAGTGAATATCTTCAGATTGATTTTATTCATCTAGAAAAACAATTTTAAAATAGTTATCTATTATTCAATTAGAAAACAGGACTATTCATTGCATCTCAAAAACCTTCTACGATCATAGAAAAGAAAAGCTTGTGCACCATCGCCTCAGCAATAAACACTCCTAATAGAATTAATAATTTTTTTTTTTGCTACTTTATCAAATACATACGGAGATGTGTGGAGAGGGACAAAAATTGAAGTCAGGATTAGACCAGTGTTACCAAGACTATAATCGAGATCGGGCCAAGGGAAGAACTATGATCGGCATAGTTCTTGTCTCGGACCTATGCCGACCATAGTCCGAGCAAAACGGATCTAATCCTAGTACCGATTTGGTCTCAGTCACAGATCTCTATGGATGCGAAACATTGAAGAAATAATTCAGTGAAAATATGTTTAATTAATTTAGAGTAAGTTCTTATTTTGATAAATAAAAAAAAAAAATCTATTGTTAAATCCTCTCTGATGTTGCTAGTCTTTTAGTTAATTAAATATATTCAATAATATTTATATATTGATCATCATACATAAATAATCTTTGAAAACAATAAATAACAATATAAACTGTACATTGATCAATCATATCGTTGTGTTGTTTGTATAAATTTAAACCAAATGTTTATCAAATAAACTATAATCAATATAACTGTTGAAACCATATTTATTTTGTTTGTTTAGCTAAATTAATATTTGTACTTGTATAACATAATAAAGAAAATAAACGATGGCATAAACGTATTCTTACTAATGATGATTCTAATAAACATTTTAATAATTTATCTAATGTTGTCACGTATTGAAGAGATACGTAAATGCAACATTTTATTATGAAAAACAAAAGAATATATATCTATCACAATAGACAACGATATTGCGTAGTAGATAACACTATTACGTAATAGACAATATTTTAATACGTAATAGAGAACATGATCAAGGCTAAATATAACGTTTGTTTGACCTTGATCAACAATAACGAATATAAGTTGAGATTAAGGAAAGATCAAAAACAAAGAACGAAAGGAAAATCAAGACACACACACACACACACACACATATATGTATACGTTTGGCATATTGCTGAGAGAGAACGAAAAGAAATAGGAAAAACAATACAAACGAAAAAGAAACAAACAGAAAATAATAATAGTGAACCTCACTACGTGACAAATGTATAAATTTAGATAATAAATAATGGTTTTAAATAAATATTAATTTAAGGTTGATTATTATAGATTGTTTCTCTTGTTTGTATATATATTTGTTTATGATTAATATTTTTTGAATAATTTGTTAATAACATAATTAAATATTCAATTGTTATAATATAAATCATATTATATAAAATGATTTTATTCAATAAAATAACATAAAATATTTCGATAAATTTCATTTAATGAATCAATTGTTCTATATGAATAATTTCTTTTTATTTCATATTGATGATTTAAATCATTTATTTTATATTACAATAAAGATGATTATCAATTAAAAATGGTATTTAGATCATTATTTAAATTATTTATTATTGATTTTTGTTGATATGATGATGATTAAGTTAAAACTATTAAAAAATCGTTCTGTTGTTGGATATAATATATCTTGTTCAAATGTTTTTTTATTTTGAAATTCTACAAAAATTTCTTCTGTATTTTTAATAGATTTTTTTCTTTTGATTTTTTAAATGCTAGAAAATGTTTTTTTTTTTTTATGTTCATCATTAAATTGTTTTATCATCATAAATATTTAAATTAATTTCATTTGGTAAATATATATGATTATCAATGAAATCAATTAAAAAATAATTAAATGGATATTTTAAACAAATTTGTTCAATATTTAAAAATATTTTAATTAAATAATCGTTTATTTATATATTAATTTAATAATAAAAATGGTTCAGATGAACGATTTATATCAGATAAAGATTTAGATATAAATATAAATAATTAATTTGATAAATATTTATTTTCAATAAATATATTAACAAGATATTTTGAACCTTGTAAAACTAATCAATAATAACAATAATAATAAATTGAATTTGTTGGTGATAGAATTATTGTTCATGTTTCCATTTGTGTTTGTGTTGTTGATGATGATGATGATAATTTAAATTTTTTTTTAAATAAAGTTTCCTTATGTAATTTTCTAAGATAATGATTTGCTGAATTTGTTATAGGTAGAGTTTGTATTATAGATGATCTATGTCAAAATTGCCAATGTTTATTAATTAATTGTGAAAAATTTCTTTTTTTTTATATGAATATGAAAATAAATATTATTCTAATAATAACCATTGAATTGATTGATAATTATTATTTCTATTTAATAATATATTCAATAGCTAATAAATGATTATAATAAATAGTTGTTTAATCTGAAGAATTTATTTAAAATAATCTTTGTTCAGATAAATCAACAATATTTATAAATAATTATTGTTGTTTATCAATTGTTAATATATGATTTGAAATAAAATTACGTTGAAAACATTCTTTAAAAAATTCAGGGCACCATCAATGATATGAACATAATTCTAATAAACATTTTGGCGTATTGAATATTTGTAAAGCATTATCTAAAGAAATAAATGAAGAATATGCAAACAAACTAAAGAATTTAAATAGAAATTTTGTTTTACAATGTAAGCCATCAATTATTCGAGAAACTGAATAAAAATCATTTCTCATCATCTTGGAATAGAGATCGCTAAGTTTTTTTTTTTTTTTTTTTGTTGTAATAAAACTTAGAACAGTTATTCTCTCTTTTTTTTTATCAAAAACTCAATTTCGAGCCGGCCGTAAGGTACATGTGCAATTAGAGAGATCATTCGACTCTAAAATATCTCAATGTAATATAGTTACTCAATTTAAGAAATTCTCTTCTTTGACTCTCGATAAAACTACACGAACTGATGCCCACAATTTGAGCTCATACTAGGTTCACAAGGAAGTCTCGGTAGGGCTAGAAAAATCCTAACAATCACGTGAAGGCAATACGCCATCTGGAATATCTCTTTAACGTCCACTTTTTATAGAAAACAAAAAATACTATCTGACAGAGAATAATTTTCTCTATCTGTCCATGTCCAATTTATGTCTTGGCTCTCCCAAAACCGAAAACATCAATCACTACGCTCTTTGCCGTGTGGGTACGTACTACATACTATATCATATATCGTTCATCGTTCAATCAGCCTATTGTACGATTGGCGCATTAATGTTAAACTTAGGCCGAAAACACACTATGGCCCCAATCACACCGACTAATTCAAAGTGAATTAAAACAGAATTAACGAATAAGTCATCTCAAAAAGACGATTTAAATATGAATTAACCAATCATATTACGCAATTCAACTTTAAGTTAAATCACTTTGTGTAGTGTGAACATAGCCTTAACTTAATTCGTCTGAAAAAGATGAGTTAACTCAGTTTTAACGCTTTCTGCAATCTCATTGGTTAACTCTGTTTTATTTTTTTCAGTGTGTTCTATGCCTATCTGATAATTGACTATAATAGAGGAATAAACATTGTTTCATATCATGGATGGACGATCATTGTTTGAGGTCAAACAGACAGAAAAGATAGAACAGAGCTAACGAATGAAATCGCTAGAATCATTCAATTCTAGCTTTTTGTTCTTCATACGATATGTAACGATAATCGGTGTATATTGCTATGACTGTTACCAGATTAGAAGATCTACCAAATGAACTGTGGTTAGAACTTTTCGTCTATTTCACATGGTTTGAACTAAATTCAACATGGCTTCAATGGAAACTTAATAATCGCATACAATTGTTAGCTCAAATAGCACAGAATCGAGTTGCTTTGTCACTCTCATCGATGTCGTTTATAACGTATGGTGAATGGCTGCATTATTTTGAACATGAACATCCAATAATAGCTCATCGTATAACTTCTCTTCTGCTCAATGAATCAATTATATCGAATGAAATTATTAGTCGGTGGCTTGAAAATGAGAAATCTTTTCTTCCATGTATTCGAAAATGTACTGTCTATGTCGATCTTATCAATAGATCTGCTCGAATAAATATTATCCTACTCATTTGTCGACATGCATTGACTTTACGTCATATTGTGTTTCATTTTAATGAAATCGATAGATATTACGTGATAATGAAAAAGGTCATCGAAGAACGTATTTCTCTGCATACAATGCAATTCATCATGATTAAAGGTAAAGAAATGTTTTTTGTTGAAGTTGCTGATGATCGAATATTTCAAGTTAAGTAGAGTTGAATTTCAAATTAGTGAAAGCGAAATAGTTCATCATATATGATATATACTGATGATCACATATCGTTTTACGAATTCAGAAAAAATAATGTATAAATTAATTTCATTGTTGAATTAATCTTAATCGGATGATATGTTTCAAAGCTCGGTTTTGAATTAGCATAAATCGAAAAGCTTCGTTCTATATAGATTGTTTTCTTGAATCCAATTCTTGTGATTTATTGACAAAATATTTAAACTTCATGATGAATTTCGTAATGAACTCGATGAAAAATCATGATAGATAGAAAATTTTTACTTAATTTCATATCGAAGTTCAGAGAGATGGTTTTGAGAGATTATTTGATGTTAAACGTTCGAGAAACGATATTTCGGAAATCTGAGCATTAAAATTATTCTTGTTTTGGATGTGTTCATGTCGAGAAGAATCTATAGAAAATTCAATGTTGATACTAATTACCAAAAAGAAATCTAAACAGAACGATTTAAATCTGTGAACGCAGCTGAAAAGAGCTACATAACATTTTCGCGCATCCTTCCTCATCCTCATTCAGACACACTGCGCAGAAGTATCGTGTCAGTGAGTAAGAAAATATTTTTGATATTTTCAATAATTATCTTTGAAATTTAATCTTATCTTGTTTTTTAGATAGCAGATATTTTAAATGGATGAGTTCTTTAGCCGAATGTGCCACTTATTGTGATCAAATATTTACATTTCCGAAAACTGTTCGTTTGCGTATCTCGTTACAACATATATCTGATTTAGCGTTATTGATGCAATGCAATACTTTACCGCATATAGAAGATCTTCATGTTACAATGGAAACAGGAATATATACCTCACATCAATTAGATAATTGGTATGAGAATGCACCTTGTTCTATATTATGTCCTAATGATTTAAATACAACTGGAGCCAATCTACCACATCTACGCACATTACAATTGCGACAAGTAGACATTACTAATGTTATTGTATTGATACAACATGTGAAATCAATGTGTCAACTTGAATCATTAATTTTGGTAAACTGTAATGTTAAAGGTTAGAAAATCTAGATTATCAACAATTATAGGTGATAATATCACTCTTTCGTTTTTTGTTATTTTCAGATAAGAATGAACTTATTGTATTTAAAAGCTGTATTAGAAATTTTATGATTTGTCTGCGTTGTCTTCGTTTTCTATTTTATTTACCTGCTGAAACCAAGCTTGAAAAAATTGATCTCGACTGGTTTAATTTAAGTCATCATACTGTTGAATATGAGATAAATGGACTAATGGTACTTTACACAGTTCCATATCCATTAAATAGTCAACGACAAGTATATAATCATACGTTTGGACGACAGTCGACAATTAATAATAATATTAATCATATTGAATGGATAATTGATTGTGATCCTTTATCTATTGATACTACTCTTACTCATTTTCAATATGTTAATTCACTTGTTTTATTTTTTGATATTAAAGTAAATATTCAATGTAAAACTATGAACATTTTCATTTATTTGGATTGTTTAGGAAATGAATATAAACATAGATTCTTGGCATGTATTACTTCCATTTTTACGTCATCTGAAACTTAATTTTGATTCGAATCCAATAAAATCTGGGATATCATATTATCGATCTGTAACACCGAGCCATTATCGTTGCATTATTCTTGAGAAATTTCGTAAATGTGCTTCTACTCTTGAGTGTTTGACGCTACACTGGTCTGACCTTGAACTTCTTCTTGAACATTCTTCATCACCTTGGCCATTTGTTCGACAACTTAATATTCGTTTGAAATCACGCACAAACTTTCCATCTGCATCTTTGATCAAACAATCACCAACGAATAAAGCTTTTCCTCAACTACAATATCTTTCATTTAGTGGACGTCGTTTCTCACTTAATCCACCGAAACCACTCGCAACTTGGATCCTTTTATGTTTCGATGCTCTCGTATCTTCTTCGTCAAAATTCATCATATTACATGTAAATAGATGTTATGTTACTTATCGAAGTTTTCCTCTTACATCTCGTGACATACTTCTGACACTTCTTACAGAGCATGTTCGTTCGAGAAGTGATCACTATTCATCATCTAAAATCGTTATCGATGAGAATGAAGAGATAATTATTTGGCTTTGAAAGAAACTTTTAATCATACAGTAGTAGCTATGTAAAGTAAATATGGAAGAAATTTCTATGACCAGAGAAGATAAGAAAATGAAATGTTTCTGTAAAATTTTTTCATAGAATTTCATAAATATAATAATTTGAACAAATTTTCGGTTTTGATTTCTTTATATATAATGATAATGTATGCATGTAATGAGTTAATTCTTGTATAAATTCTTTACGACAAAGATCGGCAATAGTAATAGGTACAGCGTATCGATGTACGAGAGTCATATTCGAAATTTTAAAATAAAATGAAATTAACACATTTTTATATCTTATCATATGGTTCACACAGTCAACTTGAGTCATTATAGTCATAATGATGTGATTATGACTCCTTCAATAAACAATATACATTTTATTTTCGTAAAAAAATACATTAAATGGATTTAGTATCACTCTGCATTTGCAGGTACATCTTTTTTACTAATCAATAATACAAAAGCTGAGTAATTTACTGCATTTACCTTAGTCAAATTCGTTGAAAAATTTTGAAAAGTTAATGAAGTTGAAAGTTACAACTCAATTAACTTTTTAGCTAAAATGTTAATCGGTTATTGTAACGGTTATTCACCTGTTTACTTTACCTGTGTAATCTCTTTACCGAGCACTGACTTTTTCTCTCTTTGTTGTATTATGTATCTGTTCCTATATAAATTATGTGCAATAAAGGAAAAACACGATTGTGAATATGCAGATGACACAAGACATCATCTTCAATCTGAAAAATTACTTCACCATTATCAAATGAAATTTATCAATCATAGAGTTTATCTTTGGTGATAATTAACAGATTTATATCGAGATAACTTTTCACGTTTTCTTTTTATTGTTATTCACATTTATTTTCTCAAGATCAGTAGAACATATTGAATGATCCTATCTCGTTCTAATCTCAGCGATTTTTCATTTACTTTGGAACAGTTAAATAGTCAATGATATAGTGGTGTAACCAGGGTACGGCATGAGTAGTAGGCGCTGCCTTACCCACCGATCATTTTTGAAAAAGCGATTTTTTCAAATAGTATTTGATTCGTATGTGGGTTACATATATTCTTAAAAATGAATTATCGCTTGAAATATAGAGGTGACTATTATGAAAATAGTAATTGGTGGATTTCATTCCACAAATGATTTGCTTCCTCATGATCTTTGTAACGAATTTTGAATTAATAGATGTTGTTGTAAAATATGGATAGAATAATATTCGTTACTTGCTGCAGACTTTATTTTGTTTGTGATCACAAAGAGAAATTGAAAGAGTAGCGTTAATGCTATCCTCGGTATAAAAGATGTTAACAAGAACTACCTGATTCGATCACCGGGACAAATTTTCTATTCAGAAAAAAAAGGGTTTCAATATATAAAAGGTACCTCTTTCATAGGTAGATACGTAGGATTGAATGGAGACGATCTCTCTTCGGGAATATGCCCTAGAAATGTTCAGTGGACCGTTGGATAGAGAATGGAACTCAATGAGCTGTGATTGATGTTTGAATTTTGCAAAAAAAGATTTTTCAATATTATTGGGATCTGGTGGATAGGGAAATAAGGTTTGATTGATACAAGGAATTTAAGGTATAAGTACAATTCTCGTTGAAAATATAAACGCCAGGTTTATTTAGAAAGATATAGGGATGGTGTAATAAATGTTGTTTAAGAGATTTGAACTAATTCTATTTAGCTGATATAATCGATTGTTGTTCATGGTTAGTGTAAAGTTTTGGTATTATATGTGTAGATTAGTTTGCATTCTTGCGGGCAGTTTTTTATCTTGCAGTTTTCATCTGTGAAATGGAATTGATAATAAGTTGAAGTATTTTTGGTGAAAACTCAAGTAAATCTTGGGATCAGAATATATTTCATTGATGACCTTGATAGTATTGATGTTGTCGAAAGTATCTGTTAAATTTTTATTGTTTTTTTAACCCTTGATATTTGATTTCAACATCTTATGATACTGTTTCGTAGCAACATCTTTCTAGTAAAATATCTGTACGAAGTTTTTTGTGTTGAACGAAATTCCACTATCCTTTGTATAATGATGGTTTGAATCGAATTTTGAATAATGTAAAGATAAACGCATTCAAAACTTGAAATAAATTGAATTGATACTAAATAAAATTAATTTTCAATTTGTTTTATTTTATCTAGATTTTCAATGTCTTCAAGAATCGAAAACGTTCCGATTGAACAAGCATCAATTAGTGCAATTTTGTCAACTACAGGCATTGCTACATGCATCACGATACTGATTATCTTGGATGACAATCGAACATTTATATTTCACTCGGAGCCATCTTGCATTGATTTAGAAAACGAAGGTCAAATGGAATATGAAGTTCAAACGACGTAGGTGAAGTTAGCGTCCAATTCGAGTAATTCTGCCGCCGATTCGCTCAGGAACATGTTCCAAGTGTTCCATTTGTGTTCCAAGTACAACTCGATGAGCTCTATCGAATGGTGTATTCAGACTTTCCATAGCTCAAACTGAGTTTCCATAAATCCCTGAATACTGGTCCACAATGTCAAACCGGCAAGTAATTCTATCGCCGATTCGTTCAGGAACATGTTCCAAGTGTTCCAATTGAGTTCCAAGTACAGAACCCGATTGGAACACTTGGAACATGTTCCTGGGTGAATCGGCGATGGAATTACAATGCTGATGGGCCATTTCTCATACTTTTGGACCAGTATTTTGAGGTTTGCGAACACATCGTTTGAGCTACGTAAAACCCGAATATACCATTCGATAGAGCTCATCGAGTTGTACTTGGAACACAAATGGAACAGTTGGAACATGTTCCTGAGCGAATCGGCGGCAGAATTACTCGAATCGGACACTAACTTCACCTACATCATCATTCGGCGTATGAATCAGTATCAATCAAAATATGATTATATATTTATTGAAGTTTATTTGTATTTTATAAATGTCGTTAATAAAAAAAACAAAAAATATAATTTTACAAATTAACTTTTCTCGGAATAAAAAAAACAAAACTTTATATTATAGCTGGAAAACAAGTTCAATTCTTTTATGTATCAGTTACTCCAGTTTCATTGTAAGTAGCATTTTTAGTT